GGCGGCGGCCCGCACGGGCTCTGCGCGCCCCTGGGCCCCGGGCCCGGACCGGATTCTCCTCTGGAACACACTGTCCCCCATCTGTCTAGCCGCGGTTTTCAAAACTAAGGCCGGAGGAGCAGAAACGGACCGAGCGCAGCTCCCCCGCTCGGACTGTTCGTGGGTTGCGTGGGCTGGAGGGAGCGGCCCCGGCCTGCGGACAGCGGTGCGGGTTCAGGGTCTCGGGGCGCGCTGCGGCAGCCGGGCCCGCGTGCGGACTCCTAATAGGTCGAAAGCTAGGATCCAGCAGGCCCGAATGGCCTCGGAGACTGCGCGGTCTTAACATGGCTCCTGCCCTGAGACAAGCCTTAGATGGTGAGGAAGCGGGGAAGCAGGATGGTGGCAGCGGTTAGGACAGGAGCGATTCGGGCGGGTAGGTAATGACAGGAGTACTGCAGCCGGGCCTCTTAGCCTCCCGCTCGATTATGACCAGCCATTCGGGGCCTTGGGATGACGGACAGTCAGTGTGTTGTCACACATGATGGCAGCATAAAAGGAGTTTGGGACTAGGGTGTGCAAGCCAGAAAGGTTCGGCCCTTTTATAGAATTATACATTTATATGATGGCATAACATTGGAAATAAGAAAAATCTATTTAATTTTGTATTTAATTTTGAGATCTAGCTCACCGGGTGCTGTATTTGCTGATGATAATATATTTGCCCAGTAGGTTTTTATGGTGGATATTAAAAATTGTTACATGACAGTTTGTCAGTGTTTTTGTATGTTTAACATTTTCTTCCTTTATAAAGAAACAAATACATACAGTAAAGTGTACACATTTAAGTGTTTAACTCAATGAGGCTTCATATGTATGCACCCCTATAACCGTCCTCCAGGTTAAGATGTAGAGCTTTTCAGCAAGCTCCTCCTGGCTGTTGGTAGATAAGCCACGGTAACCTCTCTGCTGACCTCTGTCATCAGAGATTCGTTTTGCCTGTTTGGATCAGTGTGTGCTCCTTTGTGTCTGGCTCCCTTCACTCAGCATTATTACTGTGAGATTCGTCCATATTGGTTGTTGCAGTTTGTTGGTTGGTTTGTGTTTTCATTGATGTGTCTATTTTATTGTTTGAATATCCAGAATATTTATCTCTTCTACTGTGGGTGGCCCTTTGGATTGTTTGCAGTTGGTAACTATTATGAATTGCACTTCTAAGGTAGACAGAGGCATTCATTTCTCTAGGGCGCACCTCCAGGAGAGGAATTGCTTGTCCTGGATACTTGTATGTGCAGCTTTAGTGGACACTGCTAAACGGTTTCCCAAAGTGGTGGTTTGATTTACACTCCCACCAGCAATGTATGAGAGTTCCTTTTGCTCCACATCTTCATTATATGTTTATATAGTAAAACAGTGCAAAATTTAGGATTTTGGCAGACTCTAGCAAAAGACTACCACTGTACATGCTTTACATTAGAAAAATCCTCTCCTCGCTTTTGTCACATCAGTGAGGTTTTAAGAGTAGTGCATTATTATTCAAATGCACCCAATGGCTGAGGATAATATAAGTTTATTTTGTTCTGTATTGACATTTTATTTTTAAAGTGTGTGTCCTCGTATTAAACACAAAACCCTTCAAAATAATTAAATATAGATCACATCCCTGATAATCGTAGGTTTACTACGTCTACTGCTGTGAGAAGAGTTTCAGTTCAGTTCCTGTTCAAAGCTGAGATGTACTGTGACCTTTGAATTCACTGGCGGAGGCTGAGGCAGCTGTTAAGGAACTGATAGAAGGAACTGAGTGGCCAGGCAGACTGTTCTGTGACAACTTAAGCTTCATGCTCCTGTAGTTCTTCTTGCTGGCCTTTAGTGACACCTGCAGGCTCTGAGGGTGCAAACACTGGTGGTTTGATAGTTACTGCAGTACAAAAATGCTTCTCAAAACTTGAAGGAGAGAATAGGTCACCTGCAGCACCCCACCACCAGAGTTTCTGATTCAGTGGCTCTGGGGTAGGCCTGACAGTGTTCATTTCTAAGAAGTTCCCAGGTGATGTTGATGCTGCTGGTCTGGGGACCACACTAAGAACCACTGTAATGAGACCAGCTCTTGAGAGCTGGATTTGTAGATAGGAATGGCCATCCTGAGATTTAGCTCTCTTTGTGGTGGGCTGGAATTTACATAGCCAGGTAGTACATGTAAGCTCAGGGTATTTGTTTTTTTGTTAGGATATCAGCTCCAGTAAGTTACACATTTGCGAGGAGGAGACTACCCTTGGCTGAGTGAGCACCATAGTTACAGTAAAGTTGGATCCTTAGTAAAGAAAACAAAGATTATGTAAGTTTTTAAAAAATATTTGGTGGAAGCAGCCTGTGTTCAGTTTTAGAAAACTTCTAGTAGAAGAATCTGAAGCGCTTACTCTATATAGTGGAAAGTGAGCACAGGGAACAGACGTTAGAGATTTATCCATGAGACAAATGTAAAAGCCACTGAACCTTGAGATGACACTTTCCTCAACATTTAATTTATGTTATTTATCGAGTTGCCTACCATAGCATTGTGTTATATCTTGAAGGGTAAATTAAAAAGTACTATGTAGGTCTCTTTGACTCATTTTTAGTTCGTCTGAAGAAGTCAAATATTCCAGGAAAGCAAAAGCTGGAACTTGGAAGGGATACTTGTGAGGTAGTCAGACTTGGGGCCTCGATTTTCATAGGCCCATGGAGACAGAACTGCCTCTCTTTTCAGCAAGGTAAGCATTTCTTGTAGTTTAGGATGGTCTTAAATGTTTCTCCAAAATGGCCTGGGAATACTAGCCTATTTGCAGTTTTAGTTACTATAAGAGACTATTAACATCTCTACTTTTTGGAATATAGTAGAAGTTTCCAACCCTCTTTGCTGCCCTAAAAATAAATATTTAAGTCATATTTTCAATATTTTTCTCTAGGCCAAGTTTTGTATGCTTGTCAGTTCTACAGAGTTAAGTGTAGACACTCATATGAAGGGCCCGCTGGGAACAGACTCACTAAGTGTAGGTTCAGAAACCGCGTTGCTTGTTTTTGTGCCTGGACCCTGTTAACTTAGCCTTCTCTAAGGAAATGTTAAGACATTGGGAAACCCTAATGTTGTGTGAGGAAAAAAAGCAAGGACAGAAATGATCCTGGGGCCATTGAAAAAACCTCATTTGAGTCCACTTAAGCTGAAAGCACCCCTTAATCAGCCCCTGATCCAACTGGACTTCAGATTTCATCTTCAACTATAGAGAAGTTTTGCAATAAACTTTAGCTTTTTGGGAGATAAGAATCCCAGGCCTGGCTGCCTACCTTAGACAGTCCAAATATAGTAAGAGACCTATATGAAGCGCTGCCGTAATCATAAATAATGGTATCAGATTTGTTTCTCCAAATGGAATACAAAAGTAGATTTGAAAGCATTGTATGAATGCAAGTCTATGTGCTATGCTCTCATTAAAGAATTAAAAGAAATTTTAATGGAAAAACGAATTTTCCTATTTAATGATAGAGAAAATTTATCAGTGCTATTTCTGATTAGAGTCTTGTAGCTTTTTAATAAGCATACAAGAACACCTCGTTTGAAAAAAAAGTAAATGTGGCAAAAGAAGAATTACTATAGACTTAAATGACTTTTCAATGAACCTAAAAAGCAAACAAAACTTTTTTCCTCCTTTACCTAAGTGCACATGGTTAATCTCAGAAGGAAACTTTAAGCAGGTTTTTTGTTCTTTGTCAAACTGTTTGCATGTATGTCTGTTTGTGTTTAGAAATATACCTTGTGGGCTGAAAGTTTCCTTAATTTCAGAAGAGCTTATTCACATGGGAGGAACCTGCACTTAGTTTGGCCAGCGATACAGGGGACCTGGCCAATTCAAGGGCTGATTTTAGACAACCTCTGAATAATTAAGCTCAGCTTCTTGGAAGATATGTCATTTACTGAATAGTCGTCTGCAGGCCATCAGCAGTGTGGGAGTCTCTGAGTTTTCCAGCACGGAGCATGTTTTAACATTTTCCACACGAATCCTGAGTCTGGCTTTGTCTTTATGAAACGTTTTTTTGGTGGGAACCTGACTGACCTTTCTCAGATGGCCACTGGATCTGCTCTCCTTGCTATTTGAGCACGTTCTGAAGTGGATGGACTTAAATCAGTTGCCAGTTGGTGTAATTAGGCTGTTTCCAGAGCCTGATCTTGTCCTGCTAATAATTGTTCCAAAAGACCTGGGACATTTATAAGTAAGAACTCGTGACTCCCTCATATTTATCCTTCAGGGCAGAAAAAAAAATTATAAAAGAAAGTAAGCGATGTTCATAATTTTTATTTGAATAGCAGGATAGGGGCTGCATGAGTTTTTCCCAGTATCCTCTGAACTTTAAGCATGATGTGAAGATACCAGCAACTCACCAATATTCTCTAAAGCCTGGCTATAATAAAACACACCTTAAACTAGATTTATGCTATTGATTAACTCTGTGTTCTTGGACAAATTGTATCCTCATTGTAAAGCTTCAATTTCCTCACGTCTACAATGGGAAGAGCAGTACCGGTCTCATGGGGTCGATGTCCAGTTGGTTTGAGTTACAGTAAGCTCTGTTTCACACCCCAAGGTCTTAGCCTGGGGCTTGGGACAGAGTAGCATTCAGTAAACATTTACTGAAAGAATAAACCTCGCACATTCCTTTTCTTCCCGCAGTGTTCTTTGTTTATGCTGTCCTTTTCCTTCTCCTTTCACTTCTATGCAAATTCTACCGGTTCTTCAAGGCTCCGTTCAACTTTAGTTTCTGTGAAGCTAAGCCATTTAATCTGCTCCAACTTCTCTCTCTCTTTTTTTTTTTTTGTTGAATGCCCATGACTTTGTATCTGCCTGGACCCCTGCCCACCTTTCTCCATGTTCTCTGCCTGCCAAATGCCTACTTAGCCTTTAAACCATTGTGTCACCTCCTCCATGAAGCCTTCCCTCTCAGTCTCACCCCCTGTTAGTATGCAAGTTACTGGTACCCCTTCAATCAGTTACACATTTCATCGTGATTATTCAGTTTACTATCATTTTTATATAACTGTTTTGAGCACCCAATACATGGCAGTAGGTAGGTGCATTTTCTCTGGGTACCTACCCACTGTTAGCTTCTCAGTGGTGAGCACCTTGTCCTTAAGCTTCAGAGACCAGCTTTGCTCAGTGCCTCTGAAAGCAGAGCATGCTACTTAGAACTTCCAGCCTTTTGTTCAGAGATCCTTTTCATTTGTTTTTAAAATATTATTAAAAGTGACTTTCTTTCCTAGATATGTTTGTCTGCTGAAGTGGAATGGACTACCTGGTGATAGGGTCAGATATGCATGTTCTGATGCCTGCGTTGCCGTCCACTTCTGAAACAGATAGGATCCAGGCTGACCGAGGTCTCTTTAGCCAGAGCTGATTTCCCTGCGAGTACATAAAGTCCCAACAACGTTGAGTGAGGCTCTGTAGTGATCAGTTGCTCAGTTTTGAGCAATTAACTCTTCATTTACACACTTTTCTCCTAGTATTTTTGTAGTGACTTTAAAAATTAGAATAGTACTACATACCCAGTAAAGAACTTTTAATAATACAGAAAAATGTAAACAATTTGTCCATCAAATGCCACTTAGAAATAACAATTTTGGTAATATTTCTTTCTAGTCTTTTTATGTTGCATTTATCACAGAATAAATTCTGTTTTTTTTCTCATTTTTCTATTTCTGCTTCTGTTTCACTGTTTACTTTCTATGTATTTACTAAAACACTCACTAAAATAATCAGGGATGTTGGACTTGTAGAAGAGTACTATATGGTTGTATTCTCTGTACTTAATGATAGAATTAGAAAAAGACAGTTAAATTGGTTTAATAGATAGCTAGGGGACGGATTTTTTTCTCTTAATTTTGGTAAAGATAGAAACACTCAGCCATATGAACAAAGTTGACAAAGAATTTGTAGGTCACACTTTGAGCATTGAAGAAGCTTATTATGAGTTTATATTGTAACAAATATACCAAATAAATATTGCTTTCACAGGGTAGATAACATATTTAGAATGGATTATCTTTAAGAGTGGATAAAGACTGAAAATAAAAATAGATGCAAGGGAGGTGGATATAAAATAGCTGTATCCGGGGATGGGCAGGCTCCACTATAAGCACAAGGTGGGAGAGAGGGCGGACAGAGGGGTACTTAAGAGTAGGG